AAATGCATCCCTGTCATTGGTTGAATTAGTTGGGATTCTGGGAATCTGCACACGTCACTCAAATTACACAAGTAAAGTGTTAAGAGTGAAATGTTGCTTTACGAATTTCAACACTTGATGCTGTCACCTTGATTCCAATTTCAGATACCTGAATTAGTTTAAAGAGAGAAAACATTTTGACTAAAAGTTGATTAAATGTAATGATTTTTCATCGACTAAAACTATTAAGGATAAAAAGGACTAAAATGTGACTAAAACTAATAACCTTTTTCGTCTAAAGACTAAATCTAAAATAGCTGCCAAAATAAACACTGCTCAATAGCAATAAAAAAAATGTTGAATTACAAATGTACAGTGACAGAACAGTGTGTGCTCTTTCCTCGTGCAGGTTTGGAGACTCGGTGGAAGGGAACCTGGTGGTTGGGACTCTGGCCTGGCCGACTCCCTGGGTCATTGTGATTGGTTCGTTCTTCTCCACATGTGGCGCCGGCCTCCAATCGCTGACCGGCGCTCCTCGACTCCTACAGGCCATCGCCAAGGACAACATCATCCCCTTCCTCCGGGTATATAAGAGTTTAAACACACACATTTTCTCCTTGGCAGAGATCGTAACTGTCTGCTTTCCACTGAAACTAAGAATTACACGTGGCATTACACTTTAACTGTTTAAAATGCATTGGTTTTCACAAATTAGAAAGATCAGGGCCAAATTAACCAAAGAATTTATCCTACATTATATAACAAATGTTTTCTCTTACCTCTCATGACTCATAGTGTGACACGTTAGTTAGTCTCACTGTAATTTATTGAGAGGTATTTTCTGTGTTCTTGCTTTATTAAGATCAATCAATCTCTGTCTCTTTCCAATTACTGTCTAATAACAGTGTTAATTACAATGATCTATAGAGAGAAATTGAGATCAGAAACTTACTAATTATTATACTATACTAATATTTAATCTTCCCTTCCCTGTGTGTGTTCCAGGTGTTTGGCCATGGGAAGGCTAACGGGGAGCCGACCTGGGCTCTGCTGCTGACGGCTCTGATCGCCGAGCTGGGGATCCTCATCGCCTCCCTGGACCTGGTGGCTCCCATCCTTACCATGTGAGACACGTGTGTGTGTGTACGTGTACGTGTGTGTGTGTGTACGTGTACGTGTGTGTGTGCGTGTGCGTGTGTAAACCAGCAGAATAACATTCATCTGTTTGCAACTCATATATCAATATTCCAATTACTTGTATATAGACTGTTCTGCACTATTCCTAATATATTCTATTTTATTTTATCTACTTGCACTATTTTATCAGTTTTATTGTGTTGCACTGTTGAAGGAGCCTGTGACCTAAGATTCTCATTGTCATAACTACACTGTTGCTATGCACACATGACAATAAACGCCTTGAATCTTGTACGTGTGTGTGTGGAGGAGAAGAATCACGCCTCTTTAGTCATAGTTCTTGCAAAAATGAAGTTTTTTTTAAGCCTATATCCGTTTGACCAGACAAAAAACTTGGGAGATAATGCTGATAAGATGTGTTACTAGAAAATAAAAAATGTCAAATTCAAATGTTTTATTGTCACATGCACAAAGCTACAGTGTAGAAATGGCAATGACATTCTTCTGACCTGAGCTCCTCCAACAATGCAACATATATAATAAAATACAAATTAAAAAGTCTATATATATGTCAATAGAATATAGGATATGTACAAAATAATCTCAGACCTCTGCATCAAGGAGGAAGTTTACTGTGTAAGGATGGTTAAATCTGTAAGGAACCCAGTCTAATAAAATTGTCAATTGTAGTTTGTGCAATTTTGGAAGGTAGATTGTGGCGGGGCTAAACCATAATAACGTATTTTTCATGATGTGGTTGCATTTTCGCAGCATTTAACCCCCTTAAAGGTCCCATGTCATTTCTACTGATCATAATTCCATTGTTGAGGTCTACCAGAATAGATTTACATTGTTCAATGTTCCAAACTCACATTGGTTTCTCATACAGCATCTCTGTATAGTATGTGTATTCACTCTCTGTCCTAAACGGCTTGTTGGAGCTCCTGCCCCCCCCCCCCCCCCCCCCTCCCTCCCTCCCTCCCTATGAGCCCACTGTGCTCTGATTGGTCAGCTCGCCCACTCTGTTCTGATGAGTCCACCACCGTTACAGCTGAACATCAGTGATTATGTTTTACAATGGCGTTCGTTAGCAACCAGGAAATGACCCCAGTAATGACAAACAGATGAGAATGCTGCGTGGGGTCTGGGTGCCGTGTTGGAGGGACGTTGCGGGGCTCGCTGCTGCTGGAGCGGACAGTGTGAGCTGGGTTACTGGGGTCGTTTCCTGGTTGCTGCGTGGGGTCTGCGGAACTCAGCCTGAGCACGCACAAACACTCACAGCCGAAGTAAAAACAATAAGTGTGGCTTGATATTGAGTAAGAAAAAGGTTTATAACGCTGTGAGAATGGGTCTGCGGGGAGCATTTCTCCACGATCCCAACTCGTCTATTACCAACGTTCATTGCGTTTGATAGTGACGCCAAGGGATCCTGGTGTGTGAGGAGCTCCACGGATTGGTCCATTTGGGTATGGTCACGTCACTGTACCCAGGAAGAAAAAGAGAAATCTCCAACGAGGCGTTCTGGGGCAGCATAGACAGGTCTTTTCTGTGTTAGAGTTTTACTCGCTACAGGGTGTACTTTGAGGGTTTGTGACTCTCAGACCGTTTACATGCAGAAAGACCTTCATAACACAAGGGGACGGGTCATAACCGGAAAAGCATGACATGGGACCTTTAAAGAATTTTCTGGACACATTTTTCTATATTCACACGTGTTCTGGTGGCCGTTTGTTTGACGTTAACAGGTGTAGGCGAAGTGTCTTAATCTCGAGTGCTGTATCTCAATATTTAAACTGGTCTCTCTTCCTTCAGGTGCTTCAGTTTAATTTATGTTTTTATTTATTTTATTCAGGTTTTTCCTGATGTGTTATCTGTTCGTGAACCTGGCCTGTGGTCTCCAAACTCTCCTGAGGACGCCCAACTGGAGGCCTCGCTTCTCCTACTACCACTGGTACACACACACACACACACACACACACACACACACACACACACACACACACACGTACACGCACACACACTAATCCATGCCTCTGGTGTGTGCAGGACTTTGTCGTTTTTGGGGATGACGATCTGCCTGGCGCTCATGTTCATTTCCTCCTGGTACTATGCAATCGTTGCCATGGTGATCGCCGGCATGATCTACAAGTACATTGAGTACCACGGGTATGTTGCTATGGAGATGCATTCCCCCCCTACATGTACAGCATGGTCAAGAGTGGTGTGTGTGTGTGTGTTTAGAGGTATCTGAGTCTATTTCCAGAGTGAGTCATCTTTGGTGTTGTGTGTGTGTGTGTGTGTGTGTGTGTGTGTGTGTGTGTGTGTGTGTGTGTGTGTGTGTGTGTGTGTGTGTGTGTGTGTGTGTGTGTGTGTGTGTGGTGTGTGTGTGTGTGTGTGTGTGTGTGTGTGTGTGTGTGTGTGTGTGTGTGTGTGTGTGTGTGTGTGTGTGTGTGTGTGTGTGTGTGTGTGTGTGTGTGTGTGTGTGTGTGTGTGTGTGTGTGTGTGTGTGTGTGTGTGTGTGTGTGTGTGTGTGTGTGTGTGTGTGTGTGTGTGTGTGTGTGTGTGTGTGTGTGTGTGTGTGTGTGTGTGTGTATATTCAGAGTGAGTCATCCTTTGTTTTTAGTGAGTGTGTGTGTCAGGGGAGTCACAATACACACACAGCACATATCCGGCAGTACATACATGTTGATCCTGTGTGTGTGTTTGTTAGAGCGGAGAAGGAGTGGGGGGATGGGATCCGCGGCCTGTCGCTCAGCGCCGCCCGGTACGCCCTCCTGAGGCTGGAGGAGGGACCGCCGCACACCAAGAACTGGAGGTACAAAACTCAGACTTTATTTAAACAATTTCATCACATTATTACTCAAATTAGTGCTTAATTTGCTTGGCCTGTAGCCCTGGAGTAGAGAACATTTTACAGGAGAGTGAGGAACAAGTTGTTTGATGATCCATTTTGTCATTCTAAATCTAATCTAAATAGTTTTCTTGCGATACGATAATTATTTATTGCCAGAATCAAAAAAGACAAGACAAGATACAAGGAAACATACATTTAACATACTTTTGCAAATAGTATGACTATGACTATGACTGTGTTTAAGACAAAAAAGCAGGTGACAAAAGGAAGTATTTTAGCCCTATTTCGAACAAACTAAACTACACTATAGAGAGGCGAAGTCCCGCCCATCTACTTCCGCCCCATGGGACCTTATTTCGGAAAAATTATGTATTGAAGTCAATGGAGAGAGAAAGATTATCTCTCTATCCCGTTTGAATTGTGCCACGAATTACACATATGATGTTTGTCAATCTTAAAAAATAATTTCCATGTCGTAAAACTGTTGAAATATAAGACTATGAAAAAAACGTAACTAGAAAGACTACAAATCCCAGAATCCCGGTCCCGCATGCTGGCTCTTACGAACCGACTAACTCCCCTTGTGTGTATGTACAGCTCTCAACATGCCCAGACTTGGAGTGATTTTCACCTCTTTTATACTTTCCGCCTCATTCTGAAAGAAAGAAGTGAAATGTGCCAACGTGACGGCCGTCTGGGTGTGTGGTGCCAGACGGGAGATGTAGTTCATTGAGCGGTTTCACACCAAAAAAAAGTGTTACTTCACAGTTTTACGACACATGTGTATTTTTTTGACTTGTAAAATTATCTTTTAAATTGACAAACATCATATGTGTAATTCGTGGCACAATTCAAACATTGACTTCAATACATACTTTTTCCGAAATAAGGTCCCATGGAGGTCCCCCGGAAAGGGAGGGACTTCGCCTCTATATGAAAACAAGAATTGAGGAACTTTGAATAAGATTATCCTGGCAAAACCATTTTTTTTTTTTCGTGCTTCTCAGCTTTTCCCGACTTGAGTGAATGTACACAAGACATTTCAAATGCCCTTTTAAATAGAGATGTCACACATGGAGGAAAGGGACCCACATTTGCTCAATATGTAACATTAAACATGTAATACCACGAATAAACTACAATAGAAACCCTCCATAGACTGTGTAGGAGAACATGCAGCTGTATTGATTCTTCAAATCCACACCTGCTAACCCTCTCTCTCTCTCTCCTGCAGGCCTCAGGTTCTGGTG